TCCAAAGTGCAGCTGCTGAAATGCAGGTAGTTGGGCTGGAAGATATTGGCCATCTGGCAACAGACATCAATACTATTGATCTCCTCAAAAAATTAAAAAAAACCAACCAAACAAAACACCTTGAATTGCAAGAGGGTATGAGAAATTTAACACTTTGGATTACAGCAGTCCAGAAATGTAAGGAAATGCTAGTTACATCCCCATCTTTGAGGGGCTACCTAGATACAGTGAGGATGGCGCAACAGGGCAGTAGCAGCAGAGAAGGCTGCATGTGCAGTCTGAGAGCGCTGCGTGGAGGAGGGAAGACAGCAGGGTGGTTATGGGGGATAAACACCGCTCTTGCTGTTTAAAGCAGCGATGCCAGCGTGAAACTGAGAGGGCTCCACGTGAGCGCGGCTGTTTCTTCATCCATGCAGACGGGAAAGTAAAGGGGTCCTGGATGTAAAGGAGTCAAGTATGACTGAGCCCAGGATTGGCAAGAGGCTTGAAGAAGGACAAACAACGCTCTGCTTTCAGGCTATACCTTTATTTCTTGCTCATTCAGGTTATCTGTCTTGTAGAGAAAAGGGGCTGAAGTACCCGTCTTGCTGAGAACTGAGCGGTAGTTGCAGGGAGTCAGATGTTTCCTGAGCGGTAGTTGCAGGGAGTCAGATGTTTCCTGACGCTCTGATGTCTGGCAACTTGCTGCACCTATAAGCAGTGGGTCGTGAAGTCCCATTGTCCTGTCTCCAAGGGTGACCAAACTCAGAACAAGGTGCAAAAAGCTCTAGCTCAGATGTCACAACATGACGCTGAAGAGCAGGAGAGGGGAAACGGTCTCTCCTTCACCACAGCCGGTGAAGCCGTGAAATTGTGGTTGTGGCTGGGTGTTGGGGTTGACATAGCCTCTGTTCTGAGGCTCTTAGCATCTTATTTGCATAGACTGTTAAGTCCAGAGTAGCAGTGGATGAATGCACATATATTTTGTAATTGTTGCCAACCAGTTGGACAGCAGGTGACTCTCATATATTATCCCCCTTAAAAAAAAAATCATTTAAAAAATTTAAAGGTTTATTTTTCAGCTTGTTTGTCATATACGCTGCTAGAGAAGTCATGGTGTTGAGGGAATTAAACTTAGTACAGATGAGAAGTTTCAGTGATGCTTTATTTTAAACAAAGAATTTGTGACTGGAAACGTTCATTAGAAGAACGTTGGTAGGAATTCTGATTTTTCACACCTGCAGCAAAGAGCATCCAGTGTGATTTAAACACTCCAGTAGGTTTCCTGTGTAAGTACTTTGCTGTTTTTGTTGAGACAGACAAATAAGCAATAACAAAAAGCTGGTTGTGCAAATATCGTCAGTGTTTAGGTGATGGAAGTTGTGAGTAGAGGGCGTCTGCACACTGTGCTAAAGCATTTAAGTCTTTACTCTTTCCTTGTGATGACCACTGAACACTAAACTGTTCAATTTTTGTTTCAGCCAACTAACAGTATTTTTTAATTGTTTTTATCTAGGACAGGCACATATATAAGCTACAAAGGGACAGACTTGTTAGCATAACAGTGTAAAGATACCTCACAGAGACCTGGTTATAACCAAGCTATCTAATTCCTCGTCAGGGACAGCCAAAGAGGCTTCTGGATGCTGCAGGCTCAGGCTGTTCTTCCTAGACGTTTGGCTAGACTGCCAATTAGAGCTACAGTGGGTTTGTGCTGATTCTTGCCTGTACCTCATCTATTGCTTCTCTTGTCTTTTAATGAGCTTGTGTTCTGCCTGGAAATCTTGCAAATAACTTGGAGGGGGGAAAAAAAGATCTGCATCAATTATCTCCTTCGTTAGATAATTGTCTCATGCATCAAACTTAAGTGCCTGGTAACCTGAAGGTTTGTGGTGTTTTAAACTAATGTAAGGGCAGTGATTGTAAATGCTGAAGAAATAAAGCTCAGATTTGGCAGTTTATTTTCTCTCATTTATGTTGAAAAAAGCTGAATGGGGGGGGGGATTTCCACAGAAGCTAGCATAAAACTTGGTATGAGTCAGAGGAAAATTAAGCCATGTTATAACTATCTAAGAAGCTAATATAACCTGAGGAAAAAAATCATGTCAAGGTGATTATTACAAAGATTCAAATGGATTTGGAGAAATGTGATTAAAAACCTTTAAGAGGAGATAACATGCTTTGTACCCGTACAGTAAAACAAACCTTGGAATCTATCACTGTCTCGCACGGAGATGAATCATGTATCGTGCGCTGGACCACACTACTACAAGTGCAAGGTTACGAAGAAACGTTACGTACCATGAAATATAGGATGTCTTTCTTTTGCTCCTCCCCTTTCTCTCCCTCTGCTTTTTTTTGAAACCTGAGAAGGCAGGCGCACAAGCATACGTTAATGAACGTGCAAGTTGCCTTCCTCGCCAGGTTAAGTGCGTTCTGCCCATAAGAGAACAAGTTATGGGCAGCAAACACGTGCAGCCCCTCAGACCTCATTTGTACGTCTTGTCGTGATCCCCTTGTACCACCCATTTGCATGGGGCTGACCAGCAGAGCACAAAAAATAACAAACTGGAGTAACTGCATTTCACGATTTTCGGGAAATACAAATTACCAAAGTTTCCTTTGACCCAAACACTGCGCACTGAATCTAGTTCCTGACTGAGCCTGTGCGCTGCGACTGTACCAGCGCAGGCTTTGGCAGCCATCCTGAGATCCCCTTGGGACTGCAGGTCCATTCAGGCTTTCCAGGACAGCCTGGACATACATCCTCAGAGCTAACACCTTGCTCTGAGCTTTTGGTCAATTTAGTGTTCTTTGCAAATTATTCTGCGTGTAGCCAGACAATGTTTCTTGCAGTTGCTTAATGCCTGATCAGTCTCAAATGCGGAACGGGAGTAGGACATGAGATTTGGGAGTTGGAAAAGCATGGGAACGCAGGTGTGAAACAATAGTTCTGTGAGCATGAGGATTAAAAAGGCCCAGCTTCCTATGGACTTGTGCCTTTTCCGTGGTTGCAGTATCTGACAAGATATTAATACTGATTTAGGTCTTTCTCCGAATGAGGCATGGAGAAAACCTCTCTCCTGTGGATTCCTTGGTGTCTAAAAAATGATAAGCAGTTGCACTGAAACTTTTTCACCCAGCTAGGGTATTCTTCAGGTCTCTCTTCTCCACTTTGCCAACTATTTTCATGAAGTATGTAAGAGCATACCTTTGAGATCATTTCCCCTTAGTCAGACTTGATCAAAAGTCCTTAGTAGGTTCAAAAGTTATAATGGGCACATGCACGTTTGCACATGTGGAGACAAATGATTTCGTAAGCCTCGTTTCCTCAGGAAATCAGGCTATAATAAAGCAACTGTCATGTCTCTCTGAATAATCAGACTGATAATATTGTTGCTGACACCTACCCTGTTTTAAGAAGTACAGTCAGGACCTTGGTGGCACAGTTGCAGCTTAGTGGCACTTAGCAGCTAAGTGAGGTTGTGTGGCAGTGAGCAAGAGAAAGCCCTTGGATGGGTTTGTCACCAGGCAGGACGGGTGATGGATGCTCAGGCTCCAGGTGCAGTCCACCTTGCTCTGGCATTTCTAGTCAGGAGGAGGAAGGGAAAGGGAGAACCATTTCTCAGCTGGTGGAGTGCCCTGTCTTGAAATAAATGTTTTGGGAAAAATCCCTTCTCTTTCCAGATGTGTTGCAGAGAAACAGAAAAATCCCCCCTGCATAATGTATCCACTGGGAGATTCACTTGGTGTTACAGCTGTGGATATTCTCAGGGTAGTGTAATAGGCAGAGCCCTTTAGGCAAGCTGCAGGGAGCTTATTTACAAGCGCTTCCCTCCCACAGAGAGCCTCTCTGATATGCTGGTGTAGAACAACCGGTGATCACTGATGTTTCCCCTCTCATGGGCTGGCTGGCATGTGCTCCGGAAGGGCCAGGGCTGTCTTTTGCATGCAGCAAAAACAAGGCTGCAGGTATGGGACCTAAGGCAGATAGAATTTTAAAGCCAAGTGCAGTCTCCCACCTATTGCACTGTCTGTATTTCCCCTGCAGTGTGGTCATCTGCTGTGTCAGGTCAGAGCCTGACCCTACAGCTCTGAAAGATGTTCCGTATAGATTTTACTTTACTCTTACAAACCCTCTCAGTTGTTTACTGAAGCTATATGAGTGATAAGTCCTTTCAGGCATTTTTTCTTTAGAGAAAAGAAACTTTGTTAAACGCATTTTAAACCAGCAGCAGTAAATGCTTCTAAAATGTTTTGGAGGTCTAACCACCATTCATCTCAGAACTGCTCACCTGTAAGAGCAACCGTAGCAATCAATACCCTGTGCTGAGCGTGCGCTTTGAAGATAAGACTCTTTGCCTTCTCACAGCTATTTCACAGAGTTGCTATTTGCTGAAAGGTTGATGAAATAAATTTGTTCAAATGATAGATAGCTCCAAAATGAGAGCTATTTTAAGCATATGACTTCTGTCCCTGGTTCACAGGGCAGGTCCAGAAAGAATCGACTGGTTAGAGGGTTGTTGGTCCACTTTCAATTCATCAAGTCCTGAATTGTTGTCTCCAAATTCAGGTAAGTACCGAGTCATCTGCAGCATCTATGTCAAGGGCCAATTCCCTGTCCCTGGCACTCAGCTGCAACACACAAATGTCTTTTGCCTGGTACAGTCCTGGGCTTTTTTCCATTGCCTCTGCTTGGAAGTGTCAGCTTTCAGTGAACTCTACTAACATTTTATTATTGCATTGAGGCTGAGGCAGAAAAGAGCAATTAAAGGGTTGACGTTTTTGATTAAGTTTTTAATTGTACGTGTGCCAAAGCACATTTAACAGATCATAGTTGGTGCAAAAGCCCAATTAATGCTAAGATGTAAGCAGAGCTCATTTCAGTGGGAATAAATGAATTTTTAAAAATATATAATAATAAAAAGGTGCTTGCCTAATTTTAGATACAGGAGCTAACTACAGCCCCTTTTTTTCTGAGAACTGGGATCTCAAAGCCTAAATATTCCTGTTTGTTCCAGGATACAGCTGGACAAGAAAGATACAGGACCATCACAACAGCCTATTACCGTGGAGCCATGGGCTTCATCCTCATGTACGACATCACCAGTGAAGACTCATTCAATGCAGTGCAGGACTGGTAGGAAATAAGTTGTTGTTGTTGTTAGGCTTGTTTGTCTTTTGGCCAATTGTCTCTTCACAGTTGCTTGTCAAGAACATTTTACATTCTACCCTTTGCTATGCATCACCATATTCTTTCCTCTTCACCTAAACTCTGGGTTGAATTGGTTTTTTTAAGTTCTCTTTAGAAAAAGTTGCACAGTTCCACTAGCCAGTTCTTTTTTTTTTTTTTATGAAAAATGTATAATTCTAGTGTAGTAGTGTATTATAGTAGTTGTTGCTTTTAAAGGTCCATACTTATTGCTCATCTTCTAATGTATGATTTGGCCTTATTGAGGTTTCTGCCAATGCTGCTAAAGCAATCCAGTTTAACAATGGTTGTTCGAGTCAAACCTCATTTAAAATCTAACAGGGATAAATCTTTCCGACGTGCCTTGTCCTGTATTTAGATTTTTTTGGCACTTAAAAGTATAGTGGAACAGTATTCATCTCACCTAGCTTCAGCCAATTAAAAAAACCTAATCTTAGCCATCTACAAATTGTGTAGTTTAAAATAGTTTTAGTTATAAGAGGAGGAAGAGTAAGATCTAGAGCAGAAAGCAGGCACGCCCCTTGGAAGGGGCCTGTCTGTTATCACTGACTATAGAGGGAGCCTAAACAACTAAGTGCTCAGTGTGAAATGATGGGATGGGGACTGAGAAGAGAGCTATTGTATGGGAAGGGTGGGGACTTATGCCTAAAACTAGCCTGTGAGACGGACAGATTCTCACCTATTCTAAGCTCCTCTGGCTCCACTAACTTCAGTACGAATACATAAACCAGAAAATGACCTCTGGACTTCCAGATGACAAAAAGCCAGGAAATGTTTTGATTTAGAGTGAGAAAAGAAAGGGACCAGATCAGTCGCTTTAAAAACTTAATAGCTGTATCAAAGCTGTAGCAAGGCATTGGTGCCTAGGCTTGTTTCCCCCACATTATGGTGTGCACTTTCGCTTCCCCAACTGAAGGCTCTCCGTGGAGCCCATGCCACTCGTCTCCTTCCTCCAGAAGAAATGTCCCATCTTACCCCATTCTCTGATCTGATTTTGGAAGCAGAGCTGGGGCCAGACTTTTTTCCTGCTGTCCCTGCCTTCTTGAAAAGTGTGTATACAGAGCAGGAAAAACAGAGGTCTTTCCAGAGGAGCCAGAGCGTGCATCATCCCTGTAGCCACAGGCAGTGCCGGCAGCCCCCCATGGGGGTAGCTGATGTGAGGTGTTCTCTCAGTGGGGACTCAGTGCGGTGCCTGGGGTAGAAATGTCTGAGCTGCTGGCACAAGGTAGCAGCTGCTGGCGCAGCACTGGTAAACAGAAAGCTGGACGCTGGTCCTGCCCTGGCATCCTCTCGAAGGGGCGCCTAGCCCCCATCACTCCAGCTCTGACTAGAATCTCTCTCTGGGCCAGAAAATGCCACTTTCTTTATACCAGGGCCCTGGTATAGAGAACTGTCAAAGAAACTGGATCATTTGTCTCTGACTTTTCTGTGAAGATCTGTTACGCCCTCTTGAACAATGGTCCTTGTTATGGCTATCGTCTTAGAGACTTGGGAGACTTTATGCAGAAAGTGCAGGGCATGGGGTGTGGGGGAGGAAAGGCTATGTTTATCCTCCAGAGAAGTACCTCACTGACTCCCCTCAAACATCTTGCAATCATTACTGCTTGTTACCCTGTTGCTTTATACTGCAGATAGGTTTGATCAGCGCGCAAAGAAAGGCAATGCAGCAGTTAATGGAATCTCCTAAGTCTGATAGATTGATTTGCAGTGATCTCAGAGACCTGTCTGGAGCATGTGACAGCAGCATGTAGGTGACTTTTAAAATTCTTTTACCTAACTCAGATCAGTAGACCCTCTCCTGGAAAGCATGCTAGTCATGGCACTGGCTCTCAGAATCAAACTCACTCTGATTTGTACGTTGAATACCTTTTCCATGTATCGTGATGTAGGTTTTAACTGAAAAACGACAACGACATGGTGTGTTGTTTCTAGTAACTTGGCCGTCTTCCAAGGCCGCCCATTATTAGTTCTGTCTGTCCATTCAAGCAGAGAATCATGATCATCACATATAAAGACATAGTCGTCATTTTTGCCTCATCTCCAATATCACGACACCATGCAGCAGAAGGTGAACTACAACACTCCTTTAGCTGTCCTTCAGCAGCTAATGATAGAGGAATAGATTTTTCTTTCCTAGAAACACAGACCCAAAGGTTTGGCCAAAACCTGGTTCCTCTACATGGCACCCTCTCCGCCAGGCTGAGGTGGAGTCACTGTTTTTTTAATTGCATGTGCCTGCAAAGAGATTTTTCCCTACGAGTACAAGCATGTGAGCTCGGGCAATATCTTGCATTAAACTAAAAATATTTTTAGCTTGATTTCATGAGGAGACAAGATATATAAGATCACACTGTTCATCTAGCTGTCTGTCTGTCTATTGGTTCCTCTCTAATAACTTTGGTTTACCAGTCTAACCAAATTTAGAAAAGGGATGAAAGTCACAAAGATAGCTTTGAACACATTTGGTGAAAATTTGTGACTGGGGAGAGGAAATGTCCTAAAAGGAGCGCTCTTGCAGAGAGAAAAGTAAAGAAAATTCAGCTGTTACACTTTGTGGCTGATAGTGGCCAGCTGACCAGTGACCATATGCTTGTTGGCCAACCAGTCAGCAAACACACGGGGTTGCAGCGTTATCAAAACTAGGAATGATGAAGGGCTTGGGAGAGAGGTGGTTCATGGAGATTTTGGGGGGAGGAGGATTCTTACTTAAGTATAAAAGTTTTGCTGATGAGTTGTACAAATGCAAATCATTAACATACTGTCTCTATCAGAGAAGAGCTCCTTTTAAGTGCTTTTTCTAAATTTTATGTCATTTATAACCAGTGCTCTTAAAAGCAGTTGACTTTACTCATCTTTGGAAATGAGCGCGCTATATAGAGGGCAGAGACAACTCAGGGCTATTGGCTTTGGTGCCCATTAGTTCTAGAAATCAGCCAACTTGTAGGGGATTTTTGGTTTGGAATTTTATCAAATCCAAATTTAATACAGATTTATCTTACGTGCCTCTAACTTTCAAACTGTGTTTGTTCTATGTGCTTTGCCATGTTTTCTGAAATCCAGTACAATGAAGATAAGCCAATACTGTCACTGCTGATTATTTTGAAGCATATATAGGCATAGAAGATTAATGTGGTGCTTCTTCAGATTTTTTAGAAAAGCATAGCTCAGACAAATGTCAATCTTTTTATACACATGCAACATTTCAGTTAAATATACCAAATCTCAGTCTATGAGCTACTCAGTTTTAAAGTTTACATGGGTGACATTTAATCTGAAACTTTGTATGAGAAATGGTCTAACATTTGTTCCGCCAAAGGCAATGGTGCAAGGGTGTAGGAATAAGGAAAGGTCAGCTTTGTGTATTTGACTTCATTTCTTCCTTTGCCACGGGGGCTACATGAATATCTCTGCTAAGAGGAACTTGTCAGCCAAAGGACACCCAAAGGTGAACCATCAGTGTTCATTTTTACTTGATATGTCATGAATCTTTTCGACCATCAGTTTTAAGATTCTGCACCCAAATAACCTAGTGGGGCAGATATAATCGGCCTGCGGTAGCCCATTTCCTGCCTTTCTGAAGCTCATCTACAGGAGGGGAAATAATGACTCTCACTAAACCAGGATAGCTGTGTCAGCAGAGTCCTCTAGTGGTGATGCACCTAAGAGATGCTTTTTTTTCCTCCACTCTACAAAGTTATTTTCTAAAATTCTGAAGGGACAACAAATGCAAACAAAACCTTTTGTCTTTTGCTGATGCAGCTATATAAGCCCCTGGCGTTTGCAAGCATAGCAAGTATGTACAACTTTTGTCTTTTTTGACCATTCTGTGTGTACAGTTATGTTGTAAAAAACGTTATCATAGATCTGGTCTTCAGTCGAGAAATGTACCCTCCCTAGAAAATGACAGCGTCTACTTCTTGAGCCAAACAAAAGCTCCTTTAGCTCAGAGCCTTTATCTCCGTTAGCCTAGTCTTCTCTTCAGGTCAAGTGTGAGAGGGTACCAGCGCATGTAATGAAAAAGAGGGAGGCCTAGCGCTCCTGCGGTGCTTCTGTTCGGTGTTTGAGAGAGGGTGGAGCAGTGGCAATTGTGGTGCATCCTTTCTCTCTCTTAAGTGTCCTGTTAGTCTAGCTGGCTAGTGATGTGTTTTTCAGTGTCCAGGTACAAATATAAGAATATCGTTAAGTTAAACATTTATCATAAATGCAGCATGGTGCAACAGGTTGGCTGACATTTGAGACATTGAGAATAAATCAGAAGTACTCAAGAGTTCTTTACCAGCTAACATGAATTAAATCCAGTAAGGAAACTGTTAATCTTCCTAGCTATTTCTGGTTATTTTAAAAATGGCATGTGTGAATTTCAGTGTTTTTTCTGGCACGAAAAGATTCAATAAGCTAGTGAAGGGACCAGTATAGGGAGCTACGGAGTGAAGCCAGCTGAATGTCCTTAAAAAATGAAAATATATTTCTATAAACCAAAAAAAAAAAACCCCTGAACAAATGCTAAATATTTTTAAATTAAGTGACACAATTTCATCTGATTCAAGTTAATTTCTTTCTGTGGAATCTGATGAATACATTTGGAAATAATGAGGATAAAAGATTTAAGCTTTTGTAAGGAGAAAGAGCTTGCATTTCAAGGATCTTTACATTCAAATATTTTCAGTACAAACATATAAAAAGAATAATTTTAACTGGGCTGCCCACACCCATGCATGTTTAATGGTCTGTGTATGAGACAGGCCTGTAAAAAGGTTGGAATTAATGTGCTGAGACTGCATTTATATGGAAATTGGAATGGAATAAAAAAAAAAGAATGCTATGCTCTCAGGTAGAGGGAACAAATATTTTAGTAGATCTTTTCTAAACTTCCCTCAGGTTTTCTTTATGCACAATCTTAATCTGATTTAACTAAGTGTATTTGCAAGCTAACCTTTGGCAAGTTAGTGTGTAAGCATGGTTTCATCATATTTTGCCTTAACATACACTTACTAAAATGAAAAAGTTTAAAATAAAGCTCTGCACGTAACTCACCTGCCGCGTGATCCGGGGGGACTGGGATCACTAAACAAATACAGCCAAACTTAGGAGCATGTGTCAAGAGAATCATCAGCAAGTCACACACAAAGTAGTACCCCTTCCACGAACTTTTGGCTGCTAGCCATCCCAGTCCATTTCCCTTGGCTGATAAGAATTTCCCACATGAACATAATTCCTAGCTCCTAAAATTGCACCCATTGACAAAACCTTGTTATGACTCCAGTTAGTGGACAGCAGCCATCTATATATTTGCAATAGGGTGTTCTCCTGTCTGAAGCGTGTTCCTTCTTGCTGGTACCCTGCCTACAGCAGTTTAGTGATTCAGGTTTTTAAGATGCTGTGTAAGCAGCCTGTCAATGTGAGTCTCAGCCCATCTCACTGCTTTCTCTTGTACCATCTCTTCCCGCAGAGTTCCCTACAGAAAACAAGCCAAAAGCATGAACAAACTCCTGAACCAGAGACCTAGCACTCCAAGTAAGCTCTTGCCCTTAACAAATGCTTTTCTTCTGTTGAGCTCCGAGGGGGACGCAGAGATCTCAAAATTCATAATTATGCCAGAAGTACAGGAATGCAGCCTGCGCAAATTCGACTCCCTACTGGGGGAGGGAGTTCTTCTCCCTTCCTGACCTCTGTAGCATCTTAGAGCTTATATCCTCAGAAATTGCCATAGCAGATTGTGTTCAGTAGCCTTGCTATTCTCCAAGTGTTTCATGGAGCTCCAATGTCCCCTCTAAAACTGCCACCAATGTGCGTCTGGTGGACTTTACTTCTCATCTCTGGCTCATGCAAATGTGACTGTTTAAACAGCCTCGTGCTCTGGCTCTAAGTGTCCAGTTGGCGAATGAGAACATCGTCCATACCGATCCTTCCTTGGGTGATCTTTGTACCAAACCCTTCTTATGAGTGGACATCCTAAAAGAGGCATTCCGGTTTGCTTTGCGTCACTCTGAAAATATTTAAGCTAAACCAATCAAAGGTACTTCTTTCATGAGTGTCTGTAAATCAGGAATTTAGACAAGCTCCTCAGGTAGTATATGAAGCTAATTTTCCTTCATTCACATGGATCACTCCAATTCATGACAATTATCTTAAAGCAGCTGAGAAAGTTTAATGCATTTGGGAGTATTTAGGACAGGGCCTGCTTTCTTGCTCTTTCACTGAGAAAGGTATAACAGACTGTTATACTGAGAAGCTGTAAAAGGAAAGGTCTGACTTATTTTCCTTACTCCAGTGTGTCAAGAGTACCATCAGGTTATTTTGGAAGAAAAGGCATAAATGAGCAAAAGCAAAGGTGGATTTTACCTGGTATTTGAAAAGAACTTCTTACTCTAATTGAATAGTAAGATGCCTTTCCTGTAGGGTGAGTGAGAGGGTTAAATGAGCTTTATGGCTTTCAGGCCAGTTTCTAGATTTTCCAGTAGGCTCCTTTTGATTGTTAAAATATGACACTAGCTTGATAGTTGTCTGTGTAGATAAATTAGTGTTTTATACCTCATTTGAAACTGTAATACAACTGAAATAAACTCAGCATTTGATACTGGAAAGTAAATAGAAAACATTGTGGAAACTCTGCTTTGGACAATCTAGGCAATTTCATGGAAGGGAAAGAAAAATCGGTTAAGTTGAACTTAGATTTAAGTAACAGCTGAGTTCATAAACAATTAGTTTTATTTATTTTTGAGGTGGATCTCTAAATGAGGTTGTTGACATATCCATGTAACTATGAACCTGAGACTATTTTTCTCCCAAGCATGAAGCATAATAACGTGCTTTGTCGTAAATTTGTGGAATTCAGCACAAATAGGGGACGGCGTTGTTATCATGTCACAGAAATACAGATATTTTTTCCAGTGTGTATATTGCACTAATCTAACAGGTATTGAAACATCTCAGTTACACAAGCCTCTTTTTTTTCCATCTATCTTTCCAAAAGCTTCTGGAAATTTGTTGCTATTCTTTTTTGGACAGGGATCAGCTTTTAGATAGTCTACTTTATTTAAGGACTTTTAAAAAATTATTATTCCCAATAGTAAGTGTAAATGGCAGTGTTCTGGGAGGGAGGATTTTCGCTAGCTTGTACAAAACAGCTGAGGAGAAGGATGAGGTTCTGTGGGAGATCCTTGGTGCTTTTTCATCTTTTTGATTTTCCAAGTAATTCTGTAAAGATAGCTAAGAGTTGGCAGTATGTCCTTGTATGACCCCCTCTCTGTGCTCAAAAGGTGTTATCCAAAGAGAGGAAGGGGGTCAGAACAGGAGCCTGACTGTAGGTGCTTTGAACTGAACCCAGGGAGACTTTCTTTTTTTCTCTTGCCTATAGAGGGGGAGAGAGGAGATTTCATCTCCCTCGGCTTTCTGATGATTTCTAAGGTCATCTGCTTCTGTGATGAGCCTTGAGAAACCCCAGAATACTATATAAACTTGTCACGACTCCTATTAGCTCTTACAAGACTAGTCTACATGGGGGCACTCAGAAGGGTGAACGTGGAGGAGCCAAAATTGCAGCTGGGGGGAGTGCTTTTCTAGGATAATGTGGGGCTTGCGCAGCGGGCTTGGTTTAGGCTTGTGTTCTCCCATGCAAACTACATGTGCTTCTTAAAGGCAATTTGCACAGTGAAATGACCCCGTTTCACAGATATCCGTGGAGTAATGTGACCAGCTGTTTTATATGGTAAAGGCGAGTAAACAACTCAAAACTAATTAAAAATTATCATTAGTGAATCAGAGCTGGAGTCTGCTGCTAATTCAAAAGTGAAGGAATTAAGCGCCTTGTTGTTAGGGGAGTTCAAGCAAACTAAACAGAAAAAAAATCTGAGTGGAATCCTGGCTCTTCAGGGAAATGCTAAGTTTGCCTGAAACTAGGATGTTTTGTATGGAGGAGTAGGTTGTAGGGACACAGAATGGACCGGAGCAGTGTTTGGAGGAGAGGTGGAGAAGGATGGAACAGATTGCTTCTGGCAGAACAGCCTAATTGCCTTTGGGAAGGAGGGAGTCTTGAAAGATAAAATAGGTTGGGCCAGCCTGACAAATGGATTAAAACTACTGCTACCAAGCTAATACTAAAAAAAACAAAAAACAAACAAAAAAACCACTCCTTAGTTTTGTCATAGAAGATCTATAGAAAGGCCAGGTGCCAAATACGAGGCTGTGTTCTGGGCTGCACAGCCAGCTGCACTCCAGTGACAGCACTTGAGTCACGGAGAGCTGTAGAGGCTTGGTGCTCCTTCTTAAACCCCCTGTACTCGGTACCTCTGATACCGACGTTAGCATTTGTCAGATACTTGCTGTCCATTGCTGCATCTTGTGTTTTCTGCCTTAGTTATCACTTCGTCTAACTGTGTCTGTTAGCTTACAAAACCTTACCTTGAGCCTTTTTCCTCCCAAGCTGGTAAATCTTTGTTTCTCTTCAGCAATTGTTTCCGTGTTTCTGGTAATTTTCAGTCTCCGTGACAGCTTTCCTGTTCAAGCAAAGATGATTTGATGTTTCCGTGTATGATTGACTCCCAAAATACAATTTCTTATAGCATTAGTAAAACTGCAGCCAATTTGCTGTGGCAAATGACCATCTTTTTGCCCGCTCTGAATTGTTGTTGTTATATGCTTTACAAGAAATTGTAAATCTAGTATGAAGTGTGTATTGTACGGCTTTCTCTATAAAGACCATATCCTTAAGAGGTATAATTGATCATAGTGCCTCTGACAGATTACAGCTGTAGGAGAAGGAGCTTTAGAATAATGTTTTCTTTCCCAAGACCTTAAAAAAGAATTCAGCTTAGCTTTTTGTCTAGTTCCTAAGATCTTTAAAACATTTGAAAAGTCTTAAGGAGGAACTTTATTGTTGCACAAAGTTAAGCAGTAATGAAATAGAATGGCACTATAAATTACACTGGTTGCATTCTTGCTTTATGTGTAAGGTTGGTCATTTGTCTTTTAATCTACGTGTAATCTTTGGACGTGGATGTTGTGTTCATTGGCATTTGTTTTCATACTTAATATATGATTGTCTTTTGGCACTACTGATGGAAGGTAAAAAAATCTTTCTTGTCCTGCTGTAGGGCCACGCAAATCAAGACTTACTCTTGGGACAATGCACAAGTGATCCTGGTTGGAAACAAATGTGACATGGAGGACGAAAGAATTGTTCCTTTGGAGAAAGGGAAACATCTGGCTGATCAACTAGGTACATGTAAAAGCTTTTCTTTTTTCTTTTTTTTTCCTCCTCTCTTCTTTATAAGGTGTTCCTTTTAATTTGTACAATAAAATCCTTCCAGCAGTAATAGCTTAATAATGGCATCATTACTAAGAATATAGTCCAGCTAGACGTTTTACATTGCTCAGTGCTCAATACTACCTACCTTCTTGTAGCACTGTTGTAGCTATAATGCTAATGTGTAAGGATATAAGAAAGCCAAAGTTTGTTTGGAGAGAACAGCTTTTATTAGCTCAACTGAAGGAAAAGAGAAAAAGTTTTTGTGAAGACAGTCCTATCTCCAGGTCTCTTAAGTACCATTTAGTTGTTTTTAGAATGCACAAGTTGCTTTCATAGAAGAAAAAAAAATTGCAACTGAAGAGTGAAAAACAAAGTTTATAAATGGGTCTGTAGAGCTGAGTAAATTATATATTAAAAATATACTAGGCTTCCCTGTCCAGGTAGGGAAATGACATTGCCTTATTGATATGGGATAGGAGGAGCAAAACGTTTTCATTGAGAGGAAATTGGGTTTGCAGTGAAGATTTTAGAATGAATAGCAAGACGTAGGATACTCATCCTAAATTCTCATTTATTTATCACTCTTCTGTTATGTATCAAAGCATATGTTGTCTTTTTAATATGGAATCAGGGCTTCTGTATTAAGTTTTAACTATATTGTCTCCATCTCTTAAGATTTCGCAGCTACAAGTAAGTCCTGTTAAAATTGACTTCAGTTAAGAGTGGAGACCCTTAGAGTGGGCATACTGTAAATATTTAGTTTGTAAGAGTAGAGATTCTTGACAGACTTAGAGGAATCACTGTAATACTCAAATTTATAAAATCCAATACTGTCTCCAATTCTTAAGCCAATAATTGGAGGGAGCGTAAGGTATTGTTAAAATGGGGGTTCTGGAGTCCCAGCATACAGTATATGCATTGTTATAGTTTAAAGTGTGACCTTGATCAAATCACCAATTACAGTTAAACCTATAGAATAGTAGAATATAGAATATTATTCATTAGTTGTTATTGTTATTAAGGGAAGGTCTAGAAACCCTACTCATAGACCAGGATAAAGTATGGCTTTATGCTAGAGACCTTTGTGGTATAGACAAAAGGATGATCACTGTTCCAAAGAGATAAGAACAAAAAGGTCCCATTCCTGACTGGGGCTTTGAGAAACAGTCATAATAAACCAGTAATAAGCATATAGTAACCGATACTAAAAACTCTCATTTCTCATTATTATTGTTGTAATAATAATCCTTTACACAAAAGACTAGTAAAGTAAACAAAGACATGGTTAGATTGCAGAGTCTGTTATGGGCTATTTTTCACACATCAGAGTTTGATTTGCTTTTGAAAAAATGAATATGAATAAACCAGGTTCCTGTTTTGCAGACTCTCAAAACTGAAACACTTGTGAATGCATGTGTAGCCACATATTTTGCAGGAGTAACTTCACTGGAAGTCTAGAAGATTTGTCCAGAATCATATAACAACAAATAGAGAGTACTGCTGGAACTGCTACTCTTATCTGGACTCCTAATGTTTTTCTTCCCCCCTAGAATCATTCATCCACTGGTTTAAATATGAGCCTGGCATCTAGAATCTGAATCTTTTGCGTGGGACATTTCAAAACACGCACGCACACGCACGCACACATGCACACCCCGTCAATATAAAACTGTTCTACTGAAGAATTCCCAGTTCTGCCCTGTGACTGATCCTTGAGCTCCTCCAGCCCACAGTGGAGAAATATATCCCCAGTGCAGAGGAGAACAAAAGCTAGTTATGCCTTGGGAAAGTGCTGTCTGCTTCTCATTCTTCGGCAGCCTCCCAACTTACAAAACGCTTTTTGAAAGGGTTGAAAAATACATCTGGTTTTATCAGGCAGCTTTTCTGTGTATTGAGTGTGACCATGCGTACAGCGTTATCTGAAATTTCTTAGTGTATTGGGCAGCAAGGATCTTTTAAATTGATTATTGTCTGGCTAAACTGTTCCCTTTCATCATAGCAATTACATAAAGGTTATCCTTTAGCATATTATAACTTTGTGTAGCAGCATTAAAATTGTTTGATGATGTATTTGATCAATGTTTGTTTGAAGGGAAGCATTTACATTGCTTAATCTACAGAAGTTGTCTTAGTTTGTAGGTATGCAGAGAATTCAGGGTCAGGCCTTTTAATGTTTTTAGGACAACAATTTTGACCTGACAGTAGGAATATGTGACTATGAACCTTCTAGGAAATCCTGAAGAATATACCCCATCACACGACCGACTCCTTTCCATTTTTACACGCTAAGTTTCTCAGTCTGGGTAAAAAATTGTTATTGGCCCGAAGGTGAACTAAACCAAAACAACTTCAGTGACAGCAACAGCTAAATGCATGCTGGACTGACGCATGTCCTTGTTCTGTTCTCTCACTTCTTGTGCCTTTTACACACATTCCTAATCACCACCAAAGATAGCAAATGGGCTACACGGAACACTTCTCTGGTATATGACAGCAGTTCTTATTTAGTGATGAGGCAAACATTTCCATTATCATTTTATCCGTTACCTCATGATTGTTAAAAAGTGACAGAATAGGGTAGATGCCTATTTGTTATCTCACACGTGGCAGGATTAAGTCTAACAGCAATGATAGACTCATCAGTTAGGAATACTTCTCTTTCCCCTGGTTTATGTCAGAATCAAAGAAAACTGATGCAGTGCAGAATGCTCCCAAAGTGAATCACAATAGAATGTAGCTTATTTCAGAATAAACTCTCTGTATGGTCCTTGGGTTCTTGCTGTTGGCAATAGAATAGCTGGTAGAACAGAAGTAACAGCAACTGTACATGATGGTTGATCTCTGAGGCCCTTGGGGATAGAAAGATAAAGAACTGCGTGGGCCGAAACAGTGCCGGTAATGCTTCACAGGTCAGCGCGCTGCTGCTGGCTGAGGCAGAGCTCCTCTTGGAGGGAATTCAGGCTCCTTTGTGAGAGGGAGGCTGGTGGCTGCGTAGTGCTGGTGTCAGCTGGAGGCAGCAGGCAGCAGTCTGCATGCCATCCATACCTCAGCGTAACTCCAGCCTTGCTTCTTTCTGGTCAAAAGGGTCAGTGCTTGGGTGACCACGCTCCTTAGACAGCTCCTAGCTGCAGTCATACTGGATGCTGAAATCGCTCTGTAGGAGGCAAACATTATTTGTAATTCAGCGGTGCTGAAAGGCCCTTGTCAGAATTGGTGCGCTGTCATGGTATGTGCTGTACGAGTAGTTATCATTGAAGAGCTTTCCATCTAAACAAAGAAAGGATGGGGAAAAAACAGACCCAAAGAAGCGAAGCATTTTGCCCACAGACACAGAAGCTGGTCAGCGGAAGGAATACAATCAAGATCATGATTCACAGCCCTATGCTCTTCTTCTTGATCTATACTGTTACCAGACAATAGTAATTGTTTTTAGTGTAAACCTGGCATTGTCTGGTAAGGATCTGTAGAGCACAGGAAGGCCCTTCCACACGTTACAGATTAGCCATGCAATGTTGTCATGCAGCTGCAGCCCAAGGAATTCTCCACTGATAGAAGTGGGAGCATTTGACCCCTTGACCTGGGTTTATTCAGATCTGTAATGTCTACAGAAGTATTTACCAAAGTTATAGGAAAGATCCATTTATGCCTTTGACTCTTGTTGAGGCTTGATAGATTTTTTAGAAGCATTTCTGCTCGCTCTTCTGAGACTGTAGGAATCAATGGAGCTTAAGAATTATCTAATGTCTTATTTCTTCGAAGGTTTTCTTAGCATGAATTTTGAAAAAATTGATATTGAAAAATTTTCTCCATATCATCAGTTTTTATTGACTTTTTGCTCTTTTTCTCACAGGTTTTGATTATTTCGAAGCCAGTGCCAAAGAAAACATCAACGTAAGACAAGTGTTTGAGCGTCTTGTGGATATAATCTGTGACAAGATGTCAGAGAGTTTAGAATCTGACCCTTCCAGGGGCACTTCTGGAAGGAGCATGCGACTCACAGACAACCCACCCCCTTTGCAGCAGAACTGCTCCTGTTAGTGACGTTTCTCTTTGAGAAATGTCCCTCTTCTTTCCTGATTAAATTTTCCCTTTTCATTTGTGTGGTGCTTTATCATGTAGTGCAAAGGCTGAAGTCTCTGTTACAGGAAACTGGTATGTTTGTTGAATGTCCCAGAGTGCTTAATATATATTTTCTCATCCAATAATTTAACAAAATTCTGAATAAATGTTGTAAGTGCACCTAGTGTTAATGTGTGAATTATGTTGAGGAATAATTGTGCAGTGCTGCAAATGTTATTCCCACAGAGAATGTTGCATTTTTAATTATAAATTCCTTTACTGCAGAAAGCTTTACTTCAACAACAGCAAGAAATATAAGGGCGTTGCTCCGTTCAGCACCTTGCTATGCCTCGTCCTTTGTTTCTAGAGCCACAAGAGCTGACTATCCTGCAGCTTTTCCCCTGTATCTTGCAGTTTTTACCTTTGTAGGTTTGGACCTGCCCTGTGCCGCTCTGATCAACTGCTTGATGGTGGATATGTTGCAGGACGAAGGAAATGAGGCAGTGGCTGTCGCGTGCTTAGTTTGGAGGCAAAATCTGCATGTAGAACTTGGAACAGCAGTGTCTCAGACACATCAAAACATCTGGAGCCAAAATGTGAGCGGTGGTAAATGCTATTGCTCTCAACCAAAAGCACTGATGAACTGTCAATTGTAACATCTTTTTTATTTAACATTTTATCATAGAGTAGCACCTTAGAAGCCTCCTCTTGGAGGATCAGATTTCACTGTGCCCAGGTTTTGTACAAATAGAGATAGCTCTTCTCTAGAGAACTAATTAGCTAAATAATAAAACTCCATCCCCAAAAATGTAGCAGTCTATGGTTTCAGTCAGCAAAACGTTTTTGGAAGGACTTTTGGTTATTGCAAGGGATGAAAATGACTGATTTTATTGTCAGGCTGGGCACAGTACAGTACCTAGAGGAACAAGCACGTTACAACAGGGGAAGGAACTGTGGGAGATGATGTGCAATGGGAGAGTTTAAGTATATAAGCTCTCTTGCAAAACTTGTTGCGTATCATCCCTTCAGAAGAGCTGCTTGAGCAAGCATGTGTTAAAAGGCACCTTTTGTCACTAAGACTTGGAATTCAGCAGAAATCTGTGCAAAGCTGATTTTTTTTTTCTTTTTAATAAACCAGGTCAGGGAGGTTTGTTGTTGGAATATATCAACTTGTCAATTGGAAGACTTTTGACAACAGTGTACCTGTGTCTTAAGACATTGAAGGGACAGGGAAGAAGGAGGAGACAGACACAAGACCCCAACCCAAGGGGGAAGACAAAGAACGAGCATGCAAGGCATGGAAGTTCAAAGCCTTATTTGGCCTTGTTGTGACAGGAACTTGCTGTCTCTTGCTAACTCTTTGTATGTAACAAGTTAAATATCAGCTGGAAAGACAAAGTGAGGAGCGGATTCGAAAGCCACCCGGCCAGTGCTCACTTGAAATGGGGAGGATACAGCCTGAAGCTTTTTTAATCGTCTGAATAGCTCATCCAAGGTAGAGGAGACTGCAGGATGTTTTGGGGACATGAGACTAGAGGTTAAGTCACTTATTTCAGTCAGGCAGAGTTGGGGCTTTGACTTCTGGGTTAACTGCTATTCTATAATGGGAATTTCATCTTTTTTTGTTTTTTGGTTTTTTTGGAAATAGTTTTGGTTCATGCTAATGTGAATCAAAATCGTTTTGATGCACAGGAAGTTCCACAACACAGGTAATCCATGCCCAGCTGGTCCCAGGGAAAGGTCATCCCTCCCATGTGCCTTCCCAAGTTCCTTAGTAATATGGATGAGGGAATCCCTCCTGGGCCCATGCTACTGCTATGCCTGCATGTTTAGCACTGCTCCCTCTTGAGTCATGGAGAGGAACGTGTGTGATGATGATAATTCTTCCAGTTTCATATTCAACCACAAAGTATAATTTAAAAAAAACTTAAGGAAAGATGTGATTAATAAAACTAAAGTGAAAAATGGCAAAAATGAGTAAAAGAGCAAAGACTTTCAGAGTTAAGCAGCGGACATTTTGTTGCACGATTCTTTGCAGGGAGAGACAATTTTTGCTACTTCATATGTAACGTACTCTCACATTTCCAAAATCTCTAAAATTAAGGCTGTTGTATACAGATTTGTTGCATACAAATTAGGGCTGTTGTATGCTGTTGTGCGTGTAGAACTCTGTTTATGAGTGTTAGCCACATGCAGAGCTTGGATGCTCTCTGAAATATGGAGGAACTGCTTTTGCAAATCTGTGAAATTGCATAGACTGCATGCCTTCGTTTATGATCACACAGTTGTTTGTACATACCAGCTCCAAACAGTGACTCCAAATTGCATCTGTAAATGTAAATCAGGTGGATATTGTGAGAAGTTTGCTGTCTTTACGTGCAAATTTGGGAGAAGTTTTATGGCTTTACTTTAGGCCTGTGAACTCATCTGGCCAAGGAGACTTTCCAGTGTCAGAAAGTAGAGTCAAATATGTGCTCATTGCACTATAATTTACTGGATCATGACATCCGCAAATGCTTTTGCAATTTTGTTCTGTCATGTCTCAAAGTGTAATAGTTCTTTAAAAAAAAAAAAAAAGTATAGTATTCTGGAGAAGAATACAACCACATTGATGTAGTTTGAATTCATTGTGCTGAAGGATTTGCAGCAGAGTTTGTTTGTATGTTGCTTTCAGAAGTCTTTACTGTGACCTGTTTTGGGTGTTTATGATCTAGTACTGAAAATAAAATTTGTGCAGTGCTAGAAATGTGCTTATTTTATCTATATCCCTGAAGCTGCAAAATAAAGAGAAATGTGGCCAGAGAGCTTGTATGAGCTGTATTACTATCATCAGCCAATCTTTTGGATGGAGAAGGTGTCTTTCTAGTGCTCTTAGAGTAGATCAAGTTACTTGGACCTTTTTTTGACAGTGTAATGATCCCTGAGTCCAGCAATCAGGAATCGCTATAAAGATTTAAAACAAAATGAAGCAGAGGGTTATTTTGACCAATAAACAGGCAGTGCTGGGTTTCAAGTGGAGCAGAAGTGAGTTTTAGGAAAACCTGTGTACCTTGCAAGAAGAAGTAATTTCTACAGCAGGAAATGATAATTTGAGCTGTGATGGTATAATGGGAGTACAGGAGCCCTCATCAGTGCAAATAATGATTTTTCAGCTCAGCAACTAGATAATAAAAGAAAAAAATGGTTTTAGAATAAATGAAATTTTGATTTTTTTGTTTTACTTACTTTTTCTATCAAAAAGACCTTCTTCCCCTTTTCTACCCCATGTAATTGTGGTCCACTCAATGTGTTCCAGTCAAATGAGACGAACTTTTTTCTTCTTTAAGAAGACTACAGCTGTATTCCGGTCCTAGCAAGCTGGGACAGGTAGAATTGTTCTTTACAGCATAGCCCACCAAGAAACTATATGGCAGAATAGCGTGAAGAAGTGAAAGAGATAGTTGTGAATTCTGATCTGCCCTACATTGCATACACTGAGAAATCTATTGCATGCAGAAATCCTGCAGGGTTTATTTTGGATGAAAAAAATAATGCATGCAATCACCATGCAAAAATACACAAGCATCTTTACGGAGAGATGTTTGGCACCTCATCTTATGTTTGGCTTAAAAGGAGGGAATTAACAGAGAGGAAGCCTTTGCTTCCTATGCTTTTGAGTGGTATGCAGATAATGTCAATGTCATCAGTGAATTAATCACAACTGTTACAAGTATTAACTTTTAAAGGGTAACAGCAAAATGTGAGACAAGAATTTGGCAAGGGAAATAATGGACATGCTTGCACAAAAGACTTAAAAAACAAAAAAACTGACCTAGACTGAGCCTTCCACTTAACAGCGGCCTAGGATAGCAGTGTTAACAATGATACAAATAGTATAGTTGCCAGGTGAAAAAGAAAGGAGTGCTAGACTGTGAAAAGAAAGAGCTGACTGCACTTGACACGCTTCTCTATGTTGCTTGTAGAATCATCTACAGCCCTGAGCGCACAGTTCTGAAGAAAAACCTGTACAGTAAAGCTTTGGGTTAGACGTGGCTCTTGGCTTCCATCTTGTGGAGAAACAAAGTAAGAAACCACCAGCACAAACTCACTAAAAATTATCTTCCCTGTATCTCACAGGTGATAGGCCCTCTCATTTCTATTAGCCTCTGACCCCTTAACTTTGCTTCCAGCATCTTTTGCAGTCAAAGCAGACTTACACACACACACACAAAATAACTACCAGCGCTGATATTATGGGAATATTGAACAAACGTGCAATAACGCAAAATGGATGTTGTGATACACGCAGTGGCAAGTGTCAGGATAGCTCTAGCAGCGTTCCAAGTACGTGGGACTTGAACACAATTTGCAGACAACTGCAGCAACAATTCCAATTTATCATCTATGAGCTCCACAGCTTGCACAGGTGCCTTCAAAGAGCTGCCTGAAGACCAAAAGTAGGATTTCTAGCGTCAGCAACTTTACTTTGCTACCCGGGCATCTGCACGTTCACACAGGAAAAGCAGATTCACAAACTGGAAAATGCTGCAAACTAGTGAACTGGAAAGACTAGGCCATGGCAAGAATAAACACTGAATATCACAATCCTGGCCTTTCTGTTAAATAGCCATTATTTTCCTGCAGATTTTAACTTTTCTGTTCAACAGCCTTAAGGAGAGGCCGTACTTTAAGCTACCGTCACCGTTAAGGGGGGGGGTAAGAAGTGCAAAGCCAACAGCGAGCACGTCACAGCAATCAAAAGACCAGCTGGCTGAAAAGGACTGTAATATTTGCCCCTCAAATACAACTGCAACCTTAAGTCTAGTTCATTTAAATGTGGAATAACACCAGCTAAGAGGCAGCTTTGCTATCAAATCAAGAGCGAGATCAGGTTTTTTCTTAGGCCCTAGGAACGGGTACGTTTCCTGAGGTTCACTCGATGAGGCTGAGGGCGGCCCCCTCCCCTCCTGCCGTTTCCGCCG